AATTTTGGGTTAATTCTCTTGCTTTTTGTTACAGTTTTAATATCTACGTCTCTCAATAACACACTGCTAATTTTCTGCTTCATGTAAATAGAATCACAATATGTGTATTCTATGACTTCTTTTTTTTTTTTTTTTTTTTTTTAATCCTCATCCGAGGACATTTTTCCATTTTTTGTACAGACAGAGTGGGAGGGAGAGAGAGGAAGAGAGAGAGAGGGAAACATCGATGTGAAAGGGACACATCGAGTGGCTGCCACCCGCACGACCAACCAGGGCCGGGGACAAACTGCAACCGAGGTACATGCCCTTAGCGGGAACCGAACCCGGGTCTCTCCGGACCGCAGGCTGACGCTCTAACCGCTGAGCCAAACCGGCCAGGGCTCTATGACTTCTTTATTAAACTCAACATTATGTTTGAGATTATTCCCTGTTAATAAGCACAAATTTGGGTCATTCCCTGTTTTGAGCTGTATTCTATTCTTTGTGTAACCATCCTATGATTGGGCATGTACAATGCTTCATGATTGCAATAAAAACAATTCCGTGGATGTCTTTTATTCAAATTTTAGCAGCACCACAATCACCTATATGGTTTGGTAAAACACCAACTCCTGGGGCCTAGCATCGGAGTTTTATTTAGATTTGGGGTGGGGCCTGAGCATTTGCATTTCTAACACGATGCTGACACCATGTGGGCCAAAGACCCTACTTTCAGACCCACTGCTCCTGGGTGCAGACCTAGGTTGGACAGGGTATGTGTACGCTCAGCTTTACCAGGTATGCCAGTGTCTTCAGGGTCTTTCTGCAAATTCACACACCCAATCTGCAGTCCTTCCCACAGTTTTAGTTTGTACTGCTTAATTTAAGTTGAATGTGTTTTATTTTATTTTTTTCAAATATTTATTGGCCATTACTCTTCTGTGTGATGACTGATTCTTGCTCATTTTTCTGTTACTTTTTCAAACATTTTTCTTTTTTGACCTATGATAGTTCATTATACTTTATGGTATCAATCCCTCTTCAGTTATATAAGTTGCAAAAACCTTCTCCCAGTTCATGGCTTGTCATTTTATTCTCTTTATGTTGTCTTTTGAAGAACCAAACTTGGTAACTATAACGTAGTTAGGGTTATCGATCTTTGTTTGTGCTTTCTGTGTCTTAAGAAATGCTTCCCTATTCTGAGATCATAAAGATGGTCTCCTATATGCTATTTTCTAAAAGTTGTATTTATTTTGCCTTTCACATTTAAGTCTTAATTTGCCTGGACCCGAATTTAGTGTGTGGTGTGAGAGAGGAATACAATTTTCTATTTCTTTCATACTGTCTTAATTGTTCTGATTTTGTCTTACTATCTAGAAGGGTCAGACTCATACAGAAATGTCACCGTCTTGGCATTGTGTGCTTCCATGTACATCTAGAATCAGCTTATAAAGTTCCATGAAAACACCATTGGAATTTTGGTTATAACTGTACTGATTCTATAGATCTATTTAGGGAGAATTATTATCTTTACAAGGTCACATTAATATCCTGTTATATTTCATTGATGCTGCATCTGGGTTACTACTATTTTTTTATTCCTAATATTGTTTATTTGTCACCACCCTCCTGTTTTTGATTAATTATATGAGAAATTTTATCTTCTTTGTTAGTTTTTATTATTTTTTTGATTGATTTTTTTCTTAGAGAGGAAGGGAGAGGGAGAGAGATGAAACATCGATGACAGAGAACACTGAGTGGCCACCTCCTGCATGCCCCCCACTGGGGATCGGGCCTATAAACTGGGCATGTGCCCTGACCAGGAATCGAACTGGTAACCTCTTGGTGCGTGGGTTGATGTTCAACCATTAAGCAACACCTGCCCGGAACTTTGTTAGTGTCTTTATATTTGCTTTTTTTGAGGAGTTTTTTTTTTGGTAAAATTATACACAACATAAAATTTACCATTTAACCATCTTTTAGTGTACAGTTTTGTGGCATTAAGTATGTTCACATTTTTATGCAACCATCACCATTCATCTCCAGAACTTTTTCATCTTTCTAAATGGAAACTCTACTCATTGAACACCAACGCCCCATCTTCACCCCCACCGCCAGCCCATGGCAACCACCATTTCCTTTCTGTCTCTATGAACTTGACCTCTCTAGTTACCTCACAGCAATGGAATCATACAATAATTGTCCTGCTGTGACTTAGCATGTTTTTAAGGCTCATTCGTTTTGTAATATGTGTGAGAATTTCATTTCTTTTTAAGGCTGATTAATATTCCATTGCATGTATATACTATATTTTATTTATTCATCTGTGGATACTTAGGTTACTTCTACCTTTTTGTTTCTATAGATAATGCTACTGTGAATATGGGTGTACAAATATCTTTGAGTTGCTGCTTTCACCTCTTTCAAGTGTACACCCAGAAGCAGAACTGCTGGATCATATGGTAATTCTAGGTTTAATTCTTCAAGGAACCTCCAGAGTTTTCCAGAGCGGTACCATTTTACATTCTCAGCAGCAATGCATAAGGGTCCCAATTTCTCTGTATCCTCACCCGCACTTATTTATTTTCTGGACGTGTCTCTGTGTGTGTCTTAGAAATAACTGTCCTAATGAGTGTGAGGTGGTATCCCACGAGGTTTTGACTTGTATTTCCCTAATGTACTAGTGTTTCAAACAACCAAATTTTAGCTTTGTCATTTATTTTCATTGTATATTTGTTCTCTATTTTGTTATATTTAATTTTTCCTTTCATTACTTCTCCTGGGTTTATTGTGTTTTTTTTCACTTCTTAAATAAAATGCTGTGGTGGAAATAAGGACCGCGGTCCTAAACTTTTAAATTAGGACAATTTCTTACTAACAGCCTGCATGCGGGGAAAGAGCACACAGTCCACAGATGATAGCTCCACTCCTTTGGCTCCTTAGGACCTTGAAGTTACAAGAATATTTTCCTACATGTTTACGTGGATAATACAGGCAGAAGTAGCCCAGTAATACAAGTCAACCTCAAGGACTTATTCTGAGAAATACCTTTCTGTACAGTTAAGGGTCTCTTTTTCTTTTTCTGTGGTCAGGAGTCCAGAACTTATGGTAGGAGTTCCTTGTGAAACAGGGTGGAGCTCTGTAAAAAGTTATCCTACGACATGGTAACTTCTGGCAGGTTAGGGGTGAGTGGAGTCTTCCTCTATGCATAGCACATCAAATTAGGGAACAAAGGCTCAAAATCCAGCCTTTAAAGTTCTGATATGTAGCATTCTTATTATTCATGTCCAAGTAATTACTAATTTTTTGTTGCATATTTTTTATTTACAAGTTGTTTAGAAGTTTGGTTTAAAAATTATTTTTCTTTTTTGAATTTGAGAGAGAGAGGAAGAAGGGAGAGAAAGAGAGAGAGAGAGAGAAACATTGATGAGAGAGAACATTGATTGGCCACCTCCTGCATGCCCCCCACTGGGGTTTTGGCCCATAACCTGGGCATGTGCCCTGCCTGGGAATCGAACCAGTGACCTCTTGGTGCATGAGTCGATGCTAAACCACTGAACCACACCGGCCAGGCTAATTCTACCATTTTTAATACCACTATATAATGTAAGTTTAAGTATACCTACATATTAAATGAATATCTTAATAATCCATCTTACTCTCAGACCTCCCATCAGGGATCATTTCTTCTTCTTATCTGAGTACACATTTTAGATTTTTCTTCAGAAGAGATTGGCTGGCAGTAAATTTTTTCTTTTTGTTTTGCCTTAAAATGTCTTTATTGCATCTTCTTTATTGATATTTTTACTACACGTGAAAATTCTAAAAAATGAATTCTTAGCCAATTGAAGATATAATTCTACTGTCTTTTGGCTCCTATTGTTTTTGAAAAGTCAGCTGTCAGTCTAAATGCTATTCCCATGTATCTGTTTTGCCTTTCTAGCTGCTTTTAGTGTCTTTTTTGTTTGTTTAAAGTTTTTCCGTTTCATTACAAAATGTCTACTATAATTTTCTCTTCATCTCTTCTGCTTGAGATTTGTTGGACTTCCTGGATCTTAAGATTAGTACTGTTCAACAATTCTAGAACTTTTTTTCTTCCCATCTGCTATAGAATACCCTTTTGGAATTCTAATGATAGTATCTTAGGTTATCCTCTTAGTTTCTTAATCTCATTTCACATTTTCTTTCTCTTTGTTTCTCTGAGCTATATTCTGGATTATTTAGATCTATTTTCCAGTCCACTAGTGTTCTCTTCAATTGTCTTTAATCGCTCTAATCCAGTGAATTTTTAGTTCCTATTTTATATTTTTCATCTCCAGAAGTTCCATTTCCTTATTTTTAAAATCTCTGCAGATATTTTAGCCTTTTATCCTTATTCCTATTTGCAATGCTTTTAAAAACATTTCTGAAACATGTTAAAATATTTATATTTTTGACTGATAAATCCAATAATGAAGTATTTACAGGTCCATCTCTGCTATCTGATGTTTCTGCTGGCTTTTACTCATGGTACCTGTGTCCTTGTGTTCTAAGTGAAAACCATATCTCCATAGGGGATTTCTGTTTATATCTGAGAGTCACCTAAAGTTGTTTAGGAAAGTTACACTGCTATTATGCTGTAAAGGAATGTCTACCTTCCTTTTCTCCTTTCTCAATGTTTCTTGAAAGAAACAATTCCCCAGTGAATGAAAATATATGCTGGGAGCATTTGCTATCAGTCTTATCAGGAGGATCACAAATTATTACCACTTTCGTGGATATGAACTAAGATATTGAAATATCTTACAAATCTAATTCTTTTACCACTTGCACCTAGGTTTAAATTAAGGAGGATTTTTATTTGGCTGTGAATGTACTTCTAACAGGAAGTATAGTCCCTTCTGCAGTTTAGTTACAAAACCATCCCTATCAGCTCTACTATAAATCATGCATGTTGAAAATACTATGGCTACTATTAATTTCAGTCACACTGTAAAACACTGCTCAAGAAATTACCCTACAAATCATAGAGAGGCACTAACCTGTGAGGGTCATCTGGATCACAGTTAGGAAGAAACTGAGTGATTGCTTCTGCCACTTCTTCATTTGATAAGACATCCCACAGTCCATCAGTGGCCAGGATCAGCACATCATCTGCTCCATGCTCATATCTGGAGAGATCATAGACTCTTACCTGAAACGAATGGGAATACACCTGCTTAAGAAGTTGTGAGCACATTATTGGCCCTAACAAACTGACTTCAGATTTCCATTTCCTTTCCCTGCCCAGCCCAGTGGTTTGCAGGCATGCACTGTGAGGTCCTTGATTCTGCAGCAAGTTCTGTGGCCAGGGTAGCCTCCTTTGAGACATGCTGTCCAGATATACGGGGCCCAACAGGTGGGCTTAATAGTTTGACAAAGAAGAAATGAACTGAAAATGTAATGCCTGAGGTGTTGCTGGAACACTGACTTACAATACATGCTACGCTGGTCGGAAGAACAGCCAGAGGCTAGCTTCCTTCCTTTGCACATCTATTCCACAAACATTAATTAAGGGCCTGCTCTGGGCCAGGTGCTCTGAGTATAAAGATGAATAGCAGATCCCCCTCCTTCTAAGCTCTCAGTCTGTGGGGGAGATAAGGCCAGTAGAGGATCCTTAGTAGCTGCTCTGTATGTATTGGTCCAGGACGAACAGCAGATTCGTCACCTCTGAATCACCTTTTGGCTTACCTGTTTGAGGCCCAGGGGACTCACCTCATGGAAGGATGGGACTCTGATGCTACACTCAGGTTTGAGGGGCCTCGATCTAGCCTAAACTACAGCAGGCACGTGTTCACACGCTAAGTCTGAATCTCCGAAGTGGGTCTTGGCAAACTTGACGTCTTTCCTCACCTCTAGCACCTGGAATGACTTGGCTATTTCAACATCCACCTAAACTCTCTGAGAAGAACAGAGCAATCTTGGCAGAACCAATAAGAATAAAAATGAAGCCTTATTTGGGTTAGTTCCCAACCCTATTTCACCTGCTTTGGTGGTGGGGGAGGAAGACTTTGGGATTTCATTGTTGTTTCCTGCTAATTTGCCAGAACCAGCAACTGCCTACACCACCTCAAGCTAGGTCAGAGGCTGGTCAGTTTCTCCCATTTTCCAGCTCCTTCAACCCCCTGACTGCTCCTGCCTGTTTTCTAAAAACAGATCTGAGTGAAGCTGTGGGCCCGGGGAGGGGAGCGGAGGGAGAGGGAGGAGGAGGCAGTACAGATAGCTGCTCCGGGGCCTATCACAGTCATCGTTACACCCTCTCAGATCTCGAGAGAATACTCACTGTTCAAATCTATGTCTCCGAAAGGTTTTTTAGAAAGGTTTTCCCAGGCCACTGACACCCTGCCATGGGACTGGTCCCGCGGGCTAACAGCCTACACCCAGCAGCAGGAAAAATCCAAGTGCCCCACACCTAACCACGGAGCCCTTGGAAAATGAGCAAAATTGAAAAGCAGCCTCCGGGTACCAGGCCGCCGTGGCAGGTACCAGGCCTGTAAAATAGATGGTAACAGCTAGCTAATGGCCCAGTGCACAGACCACACTCTGGGGAGAGCACTCAGGGGTAGACAGCACTGCACTGGCTTTTAACGCTTTCTGAAAAGGCGTTTTCACTTAAGGATGTTTACATTCCAGAGAAGGCAAGGTGCCTTATGAGGCCAAATTAAAGAAAACAAGAGGGGAGAATCCTAGATTTACAGACCGGAAAGTCCCAAATGCCGGAATTCTATCCATAGACCACTGAACTCACGTGGTCCGATTTTCACTCTAAGAAGCAACCAAATCCCCTCAGCTTTGTTTTCTGTGGTTCCCGGGTGTCTCAGAGCGGTGCTGCTCAGATGCACAGAAATCAGCTGGGGATCCTGCTAAAATGCAGCTTCTAACTCCGTTCTGGGGCAGGAGTGGAGAGGCGGCATTTCTAACTTGCTCCCTCGTGCTCCTGAGGCTGCCGGGCCACGGGCCACGGCGGTAGAGGATTCCTGCTGGTTTGTAAGAGGGAAATCAAGGGCTCAGTGGCCTGTGACGCCTACGCAGACTATTCCCTGGGGTAGGCTATAGAGAAGATAGCAAAGGTCAGTTCTGGGCTCCCAACTTCCTGTCCTGGTTCACTGTGCTTGCAGTAACTTTGCTTAAGAGAGACTGCTAGCTTCCCGTTGGGGTATTTCCACAGCGAATTTCTGTGATAATCTGAGCACCACAGGATAGAAAAGGTTAAGTAAAGGGAAGTGGATGTCAGGTGTCCTGATCTTAGGCTTGTAGCTAAGTAGCAGATTCTGTCTGCCTTCCAGCTCTTTCTGAGAGAGAGCTTTCCAGGTCTGAATACAACATTCGTTCTTTCCAGGCCCTGCCCTGAGTGCAGGACGCCCAGCTCCGCGAGCACTTTCCGCGGGCCCCAGGGATGCGGAGATTTGAGTTGTTAAGCTGAAGCTCTCCTGCCCACTACTCAGCTGACAATCTGGTGAACAGAACGGGTGTGGGTTGGTAAAGAGAAATATGTTAGAAAACACTCCTTTTCAACTCTGTCAATAAACTGAATCCTCCCTTAATTCCACTATTCACATTTCCACACACAGCTCTCTAATGCAAGTTTCATTAGCCAGCATGAAAATCCCTTTCAATACATTCTCCAAGTAATTTTTATGTAAATAATAAAAAGCTGGTCTCAACAGTATTCCCTGAGGCACTCCCTAATTAACATCCTTTTAGGTTTTTTTTTTTTTTTTTTTACTGCTACCCTTTGTTTCCTGCCCTTTAGCCAATTTCCAAAGGACTTTGCCAACTTTCCACTTACAACTCATGTCTTATACATTAACCTGGGATGCAGAACATTTTGTGAAAAAGCCTTCAGAAAAAGTGGACTCCGAGCGAGACATCCACCGCCTGCTCGTCCTCCCCAGCGGCCTCGGCTTCAAAGGATTCCAGCGGGCTCCCGAGTCCTGACCTCCCGTCTCCGAAGCTGGAGCCGGCCCTCCCCAGTCAGACCACACTCATCTCCCCAAAGTTCCCTGTTCCATTCCTTAAATAGCTTCTTAATGTTCCGGGAAGCCTCACATCAAACTAATAGGTTCAGAAGCTCCCCAGGATTCGGACACCAGGAAGAGTCTCCAGAAGAGTCTCCGCAGGCCTCGGGAGGGGAGGGGGGTGTTACTCCCATGCTCGTCTGAAGGGGAGCTGGGGAGCTGGAGAGCTTGAGGGCTTCCAGCGGCTCCTTCCCGCATTACCATCTGCCAAGGAAGCCTTGAGAGTCTCGCAGCTTCTCATTTAATTTGAGCTTCTGAGAGGTGAGGCCTGTGTGGCTCCATCTGCCCTCCTGGACCCTTCATCCCATGTTTACTGAGCATATACTATGTACCAACTACTTTTCCAGACACTGGAGATACAGCTGTGCACAACAGTGACAAAGTCTCTCATAGCTTCTAAGTCAGTGGCTGAGAGAGACAAATTCTGATGTCAGACGATAGATGCTCTGAGGAACCAGGCAGGGTAAGGACATGGCCAGGGAGTCCTTTCGGAAGACGGGGCTCGGTGGGGCCCCTCTAGGAGAGCACTACTTGAACAGAGCGCTGAAGGAGTGAGCTGATTGTCCACCCGTCCCTTCTTGGGCCTCCCTTTCTTCCTTCGGGGAACAATGCCCTCTGGATCAAGAGCGAGTCCGGCACCCTGTCGCCACAGCGCCCCCGAAGAGACAGAAGCGCAGCGTCTTCTTCGCCGTCCTCTGCAGGCACAGTCCTTCCGCGTCCACTAGGCAGCCTTTCCACAGAATGCTCTGCACCCCAGCTTCATGTGCAAGACATGAGTTGTGTTTACCTACTGATCCAGTCTGGGTTCGTTTGTCTGTCTCCTCCACAAAGTCAGTTATTCTCAAATTTTAATGTGTTTAAGAATCCCTTGGTGCTAAACAAATTAAGATTCAAGGGTTCACCTTTAAAAATTCTGACTGTGGCCCTGGCCGGTTTGGCTCAGCGGTTGGAGCGTCGGCAGTACAGACCCGGGTTCGGTTCCCGCTAAGGGCGCGTACCTTGGTTCAGTTTGTCCCTGGCCCTGGTTGGTCGTGCGGGTGGCAGCCACTCAATGTGTCCCTTTCACATCGATGTTTCCCTCTCTCTCTCTTCCTCTCTCTCCCTCCCGCTCTATCTGAACAAAAAATGGAAAAATGTCCTCGGGTGAGGATTAAAAAAAAATTCTGACTGTGTAGCTCTGAGTCCAGGCATCAGCCTGGTTAAATGGGGACCAGGTGATTCTGTGCAAGGGGTGGGGCAAACCACACCTGGAAAACTGTCCCGGCAGTGGGCTCCTAGGGGCAAGTTCTGAGTTGCCCTGTCTGTTCCTGTCTCCACAACAGAGCACAGGGCCCAGCACTGGTAACCATTCAATCAATAACCAAGGGAATCATTTTCCTTGTTGGACATTCACCCTTGACCTGCTTAAGTCGGTCATCTTATCTCCCCCACCCCCAATTCAACCTCTGGAGGCCAGAGATACCCATTTTGCATTTTTTTGGTGGGGGCCTAACAGTATCTTTCACAGGACATATTTGCTGAGACAACGAATAAATAGGGGAAGACGAGAGGAACAAAAAAAATCAACATATGAGATCCATTCAGAAGGCCTCTAAGCTCACGGTGACCCCGCAGACTTAGCTTGTTAACCCCATCAGTCATCAAAATGTAATACTTTTCACTCAGCTCCCCAGCCCCCACAATTAAGAAGTACAAATCGGTTGTTAGACTGATGAACCTCAAAGGGAAGCAGGGAGGGAGGACTGGATAAGATAAACCAAAGAACTTCTATGCACATATGCATAACCAATGGACAGCGACCATAGTGTGGGGAAGGCAGGAGGGGGCAGGATTGGGGAGGAGGGGTCAATTGGGAAAAAAGGGGGGAACATCTGTAATACATTCAACAATAAAGATGAGTTAAAAATTAAAAACAAAAAAAGTAATACTGATATTTAACAGAAGTAGCAGACTCTTTCCTTCTCTTCCCTGGTACTAGAGCTGCTAACAAACAACAGTGTTAGGGGGACAGCAGGATTGGGGGGGGGCACAGGACAGACACAGGAGCCTTGGCTAACATGGCCCTGAATGGGCCACTGCTGACAGCTCTCGCTGGGCCCTCGGCTCCAGAGCACTTAGCACTGCGAGCCGTCCTCAG